ACATTTGTGTAAAAGTCATTAAAGGTCCGACGTCCCCTTTAAGAGCGCCGACCAGCTGCTCAGCGCMCAATCGCGGCGCGTAAACTGAACTCAGTTGTTGTTAGCAACTACCGGCTAAGCTAATGGCTAACCGGAAAGCTAACGGGACTTCTCACTAATCTCCTCCTAAAACGGAGCAGAGTGCGGCTGTTTGGGTCATTTCGGTCGCAACGACAAGTCGTTCTCCCTGAATAAAAGTCTTAAAGTATCAGGGATAAAATGACCTCTGCAATGGTGAGTTGGACTGAGCACTTGTTGACGCATGTGAGCCGAAGAAGTACGATTCGTATTCGGATTATCAGTAAAATGTCATTTTAATTGTTCTAAATGACAATAGCATAAAAATCATATGAATACTCTGTTCTTTTATTAGAATATTTCAATTCCCAGGCTTCATTAATGACATTTTTATTGCATTTTACACTGCAATTATGATTGAGCATTTGTAGTTGTTTAGTTATCAGATTTATCAATCAGCTTTAGGTGTAAAGCTCATTGACGTTATTTATTTATTTTTTTTTTGTTTAACTTGTTATACATATAGCAGACATAGTGAGTGTTTATACACAGGCTGATTGTGACATTTAAAGGCTAAATTTAAGGTTTGCCATTGCAATAGAATGAAAACTTGTACAAAACAATAAGGAAACAAAAACTAATTTCCCTCATATTAATTGGTTATTAATCTCCTAAAATCAAAATGTGACATTTTAATAATTAGCTACTTGTCAATACATCTCGCTATACTTGAGTGGACATACTGAAACTTAAAATTCAGGATAAATATAGTTCTTTTTAGATTTCAGAGTTTGCAATGAGTAACTTTTAATAATAATAGGGGCAGTCGGTTTGTTTGAAAGAGGTTGACAAACACCTGCAGGCCAATWAACACTTAATGTAAACTAAGTATTTTACTCGATCTAAATAAGCTTTTTATTTAATTGTTATCTTGAAAATCTTGAGTTCAGAATTCCCCATTAAGGTGATCAGCTGTTTTGGATGGTAAATAAATAAAACTAAAGGATGCAGAGCATGTTGTGTTAATAATAAACCAACTTCGTTTATAATTATTTATTAACGTGTGTATTTGAAGTGTGAAAACGTAAACGGAATTTAGAAAAATGTACAAAACTTTGGCGTAGAAAACAGTTCAGCCACAACAACATAAAATATTTTTAAAAAATAAAATATCTTAGACGTTTCAGTTCTCGACGCCATATTTGTCAAAGTTTTTCATGATAACTCCCAGCTCCAGCTCCACGGTCCCCATGGCTTCGGTGTGCAGCCTGTATCTGTCCGCCCCGCTGTATATCAGGTCCGGGTTGCGAAGCTGGGGACCACCGCCGACGAACGTTTGTGCCAGCTGCTCCTGCCAGGACCCGAGCGGCCTCCAGGTCTCACAGCTKATCCGGTGGTGCCCGGGGCTGGAGGGGACGTGGCAGTACCCGTAYCCATATAGCTGGCAGCGGCCGAACGAGTCGTGGTGCCACACTTGGAGGTGGATCTTCGGCCAGCCTTGGAGTCCCTTGGTCCCGTAGTGGAGATCAATTGGGTGACTCCAGTAAGCCATTTCTCCGATTTGGGGGATATCCACCTGAGTCTGACCCTCCTTCAGCCCCGAGAGGAGACGCCATGCTCCTCCCGTATGAACTCCCCACCTGCAAAATAAACTATTTTGCGGGAAACCACTGGCCCCGATTATTTGTCCTATAATGTGGAGCTCTGCCATATCACAGCTGTCCGCTTGAACGTGAACATGCGGCAGCAGAAGTCCTCTCTCAGTCCTTTTCTCGTCTTCTTAGCTAAAGGCTAAATTGCTACACAGCTCACATCTCCTTGGTAACCCAGCATTCCTCYTTCCGCATTTTGTGGTAGTATTCCCTGAGCGTGGTCTGTCAGGCAGTACTTCCGCTCAATGTCTGATTCAAATCAAACTGCAGATCGCAGATGAAACGGCTAATCAGACACACAGACCTTGATAAGCTAAAAATGCATTATTTGCTTTGCTAGTTAATAGAAATTATACATAAACTTTAACTAATGAGTTGATGCTCAAATCGGATATTTATACCTGACAAACATAACCCAGGGTGTAAATTTTAAAATATACTCTTGCATTGCTACTTTGAGGACACGCTAATAATTTTGCACAAATAAGATTAATAGTACCATAGCGTATTTAATATAAGTCTATATTTTGTGTATTTGTGCAGCAAAGTGTTAACAAGTGTTGTACTCTACACCACTGGTTCCCAAACTTTT